GACGCACGAATGGCGTAGTGGTTTAAGCGGTCACCTCGCCGCTTCTTACTACGCTGAGTGTTGTGGGTTCGATTCCCACATTGGACTACAGTTTGTGATTCACAAATTGTTGTCCTGAGTCTAGGTGGTCTCTGTGTCCGTTTTATGAATGTTTGTAAGTCCCCCGCGACAAAGGAAATATAACTAGTGTAGGAGTTCTCTTTCAAAAAAAAAAACAGAAATCTTTAGCACATTTTTTATTGTTTTCAAAATTTCTTTGTCTGTACCTTCAATTCTCGAGTAGACTGTTTAAGAACCTTCGCCTGAACGAGCATTTTCATTTAAACTTTAGCCCGCTTAAGTTTGTTGAGTTGGTGTTAGGTTTAAACTTAACGCTTTGGAGCAGCTGGATCCTCTAGTAGGTATTAGACACGATGTTACTTGGAATTTGAATTAAAGGCATTTAGATTTAAGATTCGCAGTCGCTTGCACAGAGTGCAGACAAGGATTAGGAGGGTATTGCATCTACAAGTCCCTGTTTGTGTTTGGATAAGGCTTTAATGGAGAGAAGCACAGTTTCTTCGCTTTGTACGCATAGAACTGCATCAAGATAAATAAAGTAAAACATTCATTTTATCTTTATAGATTAATTTATATCTATGATATATAGACAAAAAAACCTAGGTTTGTTTCTATTCTTACAACTTATAGAGCTTCCGATATCGTTATAGGATATTGTTGGCATAGGGGGCAAAAAAAAAGGGAGGGGGGCAAACGGAGCAGACGGGTCACTTGGTGGTTAGTAACTACCGCCGCCCATGAAGGCCTGCAACTCAAGAGTCACAAGAGGTGGAGGAGGTGCATACATGCGCGGTCATGACCATTTTTCTGAGTTTGCGTCAATTTGAAAGGTTTTCGAGATAGACAAGAAACGGCTTTTTTTTTGGAAAAGAAAAACTCTGACTTGATATTTATGTGTAGCTCGCAAATATGCTGGAATGGAAGAAGAGAGCCAGGCATCGCAGTCGGTGGCGGCCATCATCATGATGGTCTTCCAGCACTCAAACAACCCAGGTAAGTTTAGTTTTAGTTCATTATATTTAGATAAAGTGAAGGAAAATTGTAACATAGGTATAATCTGGGTTTTGGTATTAACATGTAAACGCGTTTCTGAGAGACCAGCTATACTCATTAGAAATGAGAACTTTAGAAGTGAATGGAAGTACGGCAAATTATTAAACGGATGGCGTAGTAGTTAAAGTGATCACCTCACCGCTTCTTACTGCGCTGAGTGCTGTGGGTTCGATCCCAACATGGAAAAACACTTTGTGTGATCAACAAAAGTTTTGTTCTTATTCTAATTGTTCTTTGTGTCCGTTCCATAAATATTTTGAAAGTCTCCTGCGACACAGGATAAATTTCTAGTTATCTTTTAAAAGCAAAAAAATTTTCTCAAATTAAAGTCATACACTACTAATTTAGAAATTATCTACATCACTTCTATAGAAGATTGTTTAAAGCGGCTGAACAGTAGCTGGTGGTGATTCCAACTCGAATGTATTGTCAGTGAAACCACTTTGATGGCTCATATTAATCTCTCATATCAATAGCCTCACTTCATCTAACAGGTCTTGCAGTTATAATATTATTGCAACCTATTCAGTTGTATAAAAATGTTTAGGTGCGTTACTACATATCACTGTGAACAAAGATCTACCCTTTAGATGCTGTCTACGTCTTCACGAAGTCTTCTCAAGAAATAAAATATACATGCTGATGAATTTGCTGTGTTTATTTACCCTAATGTATCACCCTATGACTTTGTGAACAATAAGTATGTATTTTTATGTGTGTGTTCTTGTCTGTGTTTTTTACAACAGCGTAGACCCGTTTGCAGCTACCAAACATATGGGTATTATATCTGTCTGTACTGTCTTTTTTGTACTTAAATAAATGTAATTCATTCACTCATTGCAAACTGCTATTTACGGAGCTAAAACATCGTCTTGATAAATGTTGTTAATTTCAGTTTCCAACAGTAATTATAACAATAGGTTATTTTGATGATTAAGAAAGGATAATAATCCTTCTGCCTTGAATAAGAAGTTCATTCGCTGCGCGGATGGCGTAGCGGTTCAAGCGGTCGCCACGCCGCTCACTACCACGATTTTTTTGTTGTTCTGAGTCTGAGTGTTGTTTGTGTCCGTTTAATGTATGTTTGTAAAGTCCCCCGCGACACAGGATATATGCCAATATATTCCTAATGCGGGAGTTGTCTTTAAAAAAATAATAATCAGGATTTCATGTTTAGATAGACATTTAAACTTGGTTCTCTTTGTTTGTAGCGGAAATTAGCTAGGGTGCAAGACTTATTTGGCACATCAGACATTCTTTGATCACAATAAAATAACTGCGTTGTGGTGATTTGCGAGAGTTTATAATTTTTTAATGCGATTAGTGAAGCTTTGGACTCAACTAGTTTTACAGGAGTGAATTTGCCTCACTTTTGATAAACAAACAAACAAGCTCTTGTCTGCTGACCACTGTTAACCGTGTTAGACAGCACAGTAAGGTCTGAAGGAGGCCTCGAAAAAGCTCTGTGTGCGGCACCGATCGAGGCAGTATTTCACTCCGGCCCACCGCCTACAACTTTATAAGGCGCAAGTCCGGCCGCATATGGAATACTGTTCACTTCTCTATGCAGTGACACCCCAGTACCAGCTTCTCTCTCTGGACCGCATCGTTGATAGTCAAAAGATCTCCAATCCGCTCGATCCCTTGGCGTTATGTAGAGATGTAGCTTCACTCTGCATTCTCTATCGTATATATTATGAAGAGTGCTCCGAACAATTGTTCGAACTAATACCAGCCGCAACTTTCCGCTATCGTTTCACACCCTAAAATTTTTACCCCCATCACTTGGATAATTGGCACTCCACCACTGTGCTTTTTTCAAGATACTTTTTGCCTCGCACAACCACACCAAATCTGTTCCGCAAAAAAGAAAGTAGGTACTCCTTTCGTAAAGGTCGGCAACGCGCTTTTGACTCCTGAGTTGCAGGCGTTCAAGAGCGGCGGTAGTCACTTTCCATCAGTTGAACGGTCTGCTCGTTTGCACTTTAAAGGACAACACTTATTTCTTGTAGGACTAATAGTATTTAAATTCTCAATTTCAATTTTTTCATTTGAGTACGATATTGAGATAAATTACACAATTGAAAATTGAAATCGTATTGAAAGATGACTTTTGTGATTGATTTTATGATTCAATAACTTTTTGTGTAAATGTGGGATCGACGAGGACTTTGTGTTTCTTTTCATCATAAACAAGGCAAACGAGGTAATGGTCACTTGAAGGAAGGTGATTATCACCGCTTCTTGGTAGGCCGTCAAGGAAAACAAAGGAGGGTACTTCCAGCACCCTGTTTTCTTGATCCGCCATACCTTGTGCGGTTGTTAATATCACCCATTGAAAGGGACGTATTTTTATGTCCTTTTAGACAGTCGTTAATCACGTCGCTAAAGGTCTTCTTGGATGGATCAAATGGGATAGCAATTCACAAGGGAACGACACCGCAGATGAGCTGGCTAGATGGTACTCGGCTACACCAGCTGGCTGGCCCATCCACGCTATTTCTACTGCTTTTCAACCAGCTTTTTCGTGGTAAGGTTCGTTAGGTGAGCCAACACAGCTATTTCCAGAAGCGCATAAGCCTCTTAAGAGCATTCACAGGCTTCTACGAAGAATTTTGTATCACGTAAGATACTTACCCGTTGTGTAGCCACTCCCTCGCATTCCAGGATTACGTAGGCGACTGTCTCTTTTGCGTTTAGACATCCTCTAAACACCATCTGGGACTGTCTACTTTTCGGGTGTGTTTTTCAACTTTGTTCGGGGCCTTCGGGAGTACCGACCTTAACAAAATGGTCTGAGAGTCCCGCTGGGCTTCTAACAGCTGTTCGGGTATGAGTGTACATATGTTGGATAAGATTTGTTTTTCTTGTTTTCTCCATCATCGTTCTGTCAGCATGAAACGCATCCATCGTGCCTTTCACTGGCCTAATTGGTTATCAGTGATCGAGACAAGAGAGAAGAAGACGTGTAGAAGTCTGGTTTAGGATCCTGTCCCAGATTTTTTATGTATTTGATTTTTTATGTTGAGTTTAATGCTTCGGAAATTTCCCCATATGCGCACATCTTTATTTTTGTAGAAGGGGAACTAACGTGCTGTTTCGCAAAGATGGTGCATCCTGCTATTAGGATATTGTTGAATAAGCTTGTTAACCATGCGATGCCGTCATTGCCGAGTAATTTCCACATTTCGGCTGGGTTCTGCCGAGTAATTTCCACATTTCGGCTGGGTTCTGGTCGAGTCCAGTTGCTTTGCAGTGTTCATTTTAAAGATTGCCCGTCTAACATTGACTTCGCTAATAGTGTCGATTGGTACCTACACTTTTATTTGTAAGGCTGCCTTTGGAACTCTTCGTTTGTGAGTTTATTAATCGTACATCTGCGGTTGATGTTAGCGAAAACTTTGCGAAAACCCGACTTCCAAGATTCATATAGCTATCACATCATGATCTGCGGTACGTTTCCTCATTTATAAAAAAGTCGAGTTTAAAGACTTTGCTCGAAAGAGGCTTTTCTTAACGTCGTAGGTCAACGAATTACATTCCATATTTTTACAGGCATTACACTGGTCCGCCTTGACAGTACACTAAAATGTGCGACTCAAGAGTCTCTCACGAAACTGCTAATATCTGGGGACCTCCAAAGTTGAAATGCTTTTCACATCCCAACATTCGTACCAAGTTTCCATTAGTTTTTGAGTTGAAGCAAGTTTAGGGCTTATTTAGTAGATACGGAAAATTTATGCCGATGGAAAAGAAAAAAGACCTGTATGTGTTCGTACTTAGGGTGTAATTTACACCCAAACGACGTGTTCTGCGACGTAGCTGTAACCTAACTCAAGTTGCACCTTCCAGCGCACCACTGTCAACTCCTAGAATGCTTGATGTCGATGAAGCAATCCGTGGTGAAGGACGTCCTGTGTGTAATCGCGTACGGGACCTGGGGCGCAAGACTGTCAGCTGCCAAGTTGTTATTCTACTATTGGCCGCCCTTCGATGCTAAGCTTTTCGATAGGAAGGGGCTACTCTGCAAATTTTCTAGTAAGTATTAAGTATTATTCTAATTGCGTCCGTATAATGATGGATTAAATTTAAAAATTAAAAAATTACGCAGGACGAGACCACCGCAAAGAGAAGGAAAACTTGACACAAACCCTATACAAACGAAGCCAGCGTGGTATAGTAGGCCCAAACCTCCTTTCTAAGGAGAGGCCTGCGCTTCTGGAAGGAGCTTGGCTGGCTCACCTAGTTAACCAATCCTCGACGCATAAAGGACCACTCTGAGTCTACCTATATCCACGCTCATTTATTTGTACGTTTTATGGGGTATAGAAAAGACTATATTTTATCATATAGAAATTGTTAGATTTTTCTGTGACGTTTTGTACATTAATGTGTACAAGAACGCGAGCAAAAACTAGTGCAAATTTAATAAAACAGTCTAAAAAAAGTATTTGTTTATGAAATTATAGGGGGCAAACGAGCAGACGGTCTGATGGTAAGTGACAGCAACCTTTGGGTTGACCTCCCTCCACCGAGAGTTATGTCGTTTAATACTGATTTTCTATAAGCCTCGGCTGTACAAAAAATCAGTACTACTATCACTCCTCCTCCTAAGGAGAGGCCTATGTCCAGCAGTGGACTATTATAGGCTGTTGATGTGTGTGTAACTATCACTCCTCTTAAGCCGAGGGATGTCTGTCCCAGGGCTGAATTTTTCGAGGAGGTTCACTTAGGAACGAGTTCATAAACGTTTTTATCATGTCTGATATTTTTTTAATTCCTCATTGCAGATGATCTCGTTCCCTTCCTGTGTCAACGCGACATGTGCCCCAACGCGGGTTCCGCTGAAGCAGCCAAGGTGTGCTATGACCACTGCATCAGCGTTACCTTCGCGTCTGACAGTCCACCACCCTTGTATCTATGTATTGAGTGCGCCAATGAAATTCACAGGTAAAACATATTTTTAATGAAAATACACAGTAGAACTTGCTGATATTGAAGTGTTTGTTTCTTTTTACTCTTCTACTCGTACATTATAACTGCTCAACCAATCGTCATTTGATTTGAGAATAAGTTTTTCATAAGGTGATGAGGACAAACGAGAAGACGAGGTACCTGATGGTAAGTGACCACCGGCGCCCGTGGACACCTGCAACTAAAGAATTACCACCAACCTTTGTGCCCCTCGGGTTGGTCCTCCGGTCTCACTCACTGTCGTGCAGAAAAATAATAATAGAACAAAAATACAAGGTCTGCTTAGTTTGAAACTAGATGGCCTTATATGTCAAACGTCAGAAATACCCCAATTGAATTAGAGGGAAGGGGGTGATTGGGTCCCGGTAACTTTAGACACTCGATGAAAAGCAACGAAAGAACTGCTTAACACGGGTTTTCTGTGAAGCTGTGGTATCTCTGGTTGAGCCAGCCCATTTGTGCTCTTTTACGGTAGATTGTTCGTAGCCTCACAAATTAGTATACAATTTTCTAAATAACTGTCCGTGTGAATACGGGGAGTCACCACCCTTATTCATTCCGTGGGGTGTCGTAAGAGCCGACTATGGGACCAAACTACGCAGGACAACAGCACTGCAAAGAGAAGGAAAACGTGACACAAACCATACCAACTCGTCTGGCAAGCGTGGTATAGTAGGCCAAAATCAAATTTCTAAGCAGAGGTATGTGTCCAGCAGTGGTCTATTAAGGGTTCATGATGATATAATTATCATAAGTGCCGAAAAGAAATAAGATTTATACGTAAGACGTACTTTTATACGTAAGAAAAACCTGTTCACATTGGATAGAAAATTACTCTAGTACTACTAGAGTCTAGCAAAGACCTCGAATAATCCCCCACCAATAGCAAAGAATAGATAAATAATGTTAATATTGTTACCAGGGAACATCCAAACCAGCGTTTCTTCGACATTCTACATCCTCAACAACAGGTGTCTATGGTCTGCGAAAATAAGGTGAGGACATATTACTCTGTTAAATTATTTCTAATGTCGTGTTTGTGACCTTTATAATGGCGAACATGTATCCAACAGTTCATCCCTTATTTTACCCCTTCAGAGATAAAATTTCCGAGAATCTTATTGGGTGCTTACAACACAAAAAGCATCAGATGCCAAATTTTCAAGGTGGTAACCGTAACGGTTTAGGTTCTTCGTTGATGAATCAACCAGTCAGGACAAAGAGTTTTATATGTGTAGTGGAAAGCATCAGAAGTGGTCTTTCTATAAGTAGTGGCGTATAAAACACTTACATATTAACCAAAGAATAATTTGGCTCAAATTACGTGTTAGGAACAAGTCTATGAAAGCCACCAGGCAGTGGAAATCAGACGAGAAGGGAAGGAAATATATTGATAATTCTTAAACAGATGTGATATCCCCCAGGTGTAAGTAATAACTCGAGCAGGCCATCTGTAACTGGAACCGATTGTTACTGTGAAGTCCAGAGACTTTTATATAACAAACTCCTCCTCCGCGGTATGTCTGTAAGTTCACGATAAACTCAAAAAAATACTAAACAGATACAGAACAGAACACCAATAGACAGATTGATCCATGAGAGGTTTAGGTGCATAATTTTTGTCAAGGTTTTACGTTAATTGGTTGAAATATGAAGGTAATTGTGAAAATATCGGCAAACGTCAAGCCGCATTTAGCATGCGGCTTGACGTTTCCAATATAGATTCATCATCATCATCATCATCAACAGCCTATACTAGTCCACTGCTGGACATAGGCCTCTCCTTAGAAAGGAGGTTTAAAGGAGGTTTTTATATAGATTCAATATAGATTTAAACAAGGGTCTTAAACAGACTATGCTAATTCACATATTCGACGCCAAAAGCTGATAAGACAGAAAAAACATGTGGGCCTAATAGTCGCTAGTTATTTATAATTTCAAGTTTTGGAACTGATGTATATCTTTGTTATAGAACTGCCGTTCATCTGACAAGGCTGCGTACTCCATATGTTTCTCTAACGAGTGCGCCAGCTACAACGGCAACCATCCCATCAGGTAATTTACTTTGTAATGTCCCCTGGTCTTTACGATCTACTTCTGCTTCAGTCCTCCTATCTTATCTGACACTTGCAGGTAAGGGGGCCAGTGTAAGTATCTTACACTGGCCCCCTTACCTATCCGTTACCCATACTTTAGTTTACCTTCTCATTTTCTCCCGTCCGGCGAACCATTACATTCCTAAGGACTGTTGGTGTTATCCAGTCCACGAAAGAAGGCGGCCCATGACGGGTCTGTTGGTTTGGTGCAGGGATTTCAGAAGTTATCAATCCCTTGTGATCATAATTCCCAACATAAACGAAAACTGATATTAGGGGGTCGACGAGGTCTAAAAATCGACCCCTATTTATTAACACGAGTTCTTATTTAAAAATTTCAAAATAACGATATAAGACTGATTAATTTTTTGTTTTTTGATGAGGAAATGTTGTCAAGTTTACTCAAATAATGGCAAAGTTTTAAAATTGGTAATTGTTTTGTATCAAGAAAAAACTAGAGCTAAGATTCTTATAGTAATTTAGTTAGGGTCTGAGGTGTCAGTTCATTTTGGAAAAGGGGTCACTTGCCCAAAATAGTTTAGGAATCCCTGGTATAGTTAGCGACTCATAGTGAGCTGGAGGTCGTGGGTTCGATTCCTACATAGGACCATTGTGTGATGAGCACGATTATTTTATATAGCTTACAATGTAAATTTGAATGGCAGCAAACTTGAGTCGTTTAAAATGCAAATGATGCTGGTCATAAAAATATCTCTAGAGTAAGACTGCACGGATGGAGAAGTGGTTTAAGCGGTCGCCACGCCGCTTTCTACTGCGTTGAGTATTGTGGGTTCGAGTCCCAAATAGAATGGCACTTTGTGTGAGTAGAGTTAAAAAAAATCTTGACTTATGTGAGGAATATTCTACAAAAACGAATCATAAAGACTAAAGACTCCCCTATTAAAGTATTGAACTGCAGAAGATATTATGGTGTGTGGGTTGGTATGGCCGAAATGGTGGGTAATGAAGTTATGGTGGTCAGGTACTGCCAGCAGTGCCACGGCAACCGCCACAACAGCCGGCGCGGCGGGGACCACGTGGTCCACACGCGCCTGCCGCTCGCCTGGCAGATGGACAGCGACATGCAGACCAACCTCGTCGAGGCCATCATCAGGTCACCATTGCTCATTTTACTTAACTGACCATATTTGTACTCCATTTGACGGGCCTGTTGGTACTTTGGTTCGTAAGTCGCGACAAATATTTTTGTGATGGGTACGATCAGTTGTCTAGTTGTAATATGCACGACTGCACGGATGGCGTAGTGGTTTAAGCACGCCGCTCACTACTACGCTGAGTGCTGTGGGTCCGATCCCCACATGGGACGACGCTTTGTGTGATTCACAAATTGTTGTTCTGAGTCTGGGTGTTCTTTGTGTCCGTTTCATGTATGTTTGTAAAGTCCCCCGCAACACAGGACTTATTCCTAGTGTGGAAGTTGTCTTTTTAAAAAGAAAATAATATACCTATAATATGTAGGTTTTTAAAATATATAAGTAGTTTTATCAGTAGTATGGTGATAATAGCTCTAGGCTCTGTCTAGTTTGGGATCCAATGGCCGTGTATGAGACAGTTTATGTTATTACAAAAATAGTATTCATCCAATTGCCGTTTTTTACTAAATAGTATTAATATACGTTTAATTCTTGGGTAAACAGCCTCTTGAAAGAAGCCAAGCCAATCAACATGGAAGACCCGGACAGTTCCACGGAACAGCTCAAGCCACCACTACGCGTGGACTTACCTGATCCTATCTCCGTTGAAGATCGACAGCTTTTGGGCAGGTCAGTTTTGCTTTATAAATTTAATTTATTTACTCTTTTCACTTATGACTAAATTTGCAATATTAATTCGAACATGTTCCCTCTAGGTACGGAGTGTGGCTGATGGTTGGACTTTGTACTCCGAACCCTGATACTCCTGACGAGATACTAGGTCGTCTGCTCTCTGTGCTGTTTCATTGGTTCCATGTTACCAGCTTTTCGTACACCGGTAAGAATTATTGTTTACGATACATATATCTCTGTAATTTGAGACTTGTCTGTTTCTATTCGTAGATTCTACGGAGAACAATCGTTCATGACCTAACACATGTCACCATTACCATGACTTAAGCGAGCGTGACTCTCAACTGCCTAACAGAATACAAAATTAACCTAAATGACTATATAGTGGTCACATTTACTATGTAAATAGTTAACTGGTTGTTATTTTTATATAATACGAGTATTTATATATTTAAAAATATATGTTTAACATCAGAGTACAGGCTCTGCCTAGTTTGGGATCAGACGGCCGTGTTTGAGATGTGTAATATATATAATAATATAAATTAAATATTGCTGCTTTATGATTTACTTGATTGTACTGTTTTGTGCACATCACCATCATCATCATAATCAACAGTCTATAACAGTCCACTGCTGGACATAGGTCTTTCCTAGGCCAGACGGGTTGGTATAGGGTTTGTTTCAAGTTTTCCTTCTCTTTGCAGTGCTGTTGTCCTGCGTAGTTTGCTCCCTTAGTCGCCTCTTACGACACCCACGGGATGAATAGGGGTGTGGCCAAAGAAACTTAATAAAAAAAAACTTATAAAGTAATGAATGCGCTCATATAGGGACGAATTGTATTCGCTATTCCTTTAAACTCTACCCTCAGCGGTAGGTTTGTTTCTTCAAATTTGAATATGTCCAACGAGAAGTAAATCTTCTCAAAGAAAAAAGATTTCAAAGAAGTATAAAGAAGATACTCTTTTTTTAACGTCAAATTTTCCTTTTGTCATTAGGCGAAACTGCAAACGCCGTTGAAAAATTGAAGTGTGAACATGTGTGCGGTTGGCTCCGAAACATCGCTGAAACTCACCGATCGGTATTAGTAGCCTGCCTGCTCCCCATCCCCCCCACTACACGCGGCAGGCTGGCCACTGGGACAACTTAGCTAGCAAAACTCACCACCTCAAGGATGGCCTTAACAGGTACACATTCGTGGCAATATTAACAGTCAGAAAAACTAATTTCAGCGCCATCTATGAAGAAAGTTCAGACTACTCAGTATTTTTTTTATATAGTGGCGATTCTGTATCGCACAATTAAAAGTTCTCGCAAAGAATTATTTACAGTTAGAAAAAAAAAATCCTTAGAACAACAAACAGCTAGTAGTTTTATCGCGGTCTTCTGTAATAAAGACGAAAACCTTTATCAGAGTAAGAAAGAGAGAAAAAACAGAATTTTTCTGTACCCGACTTTAGAATCGTGTAGGAGTCACCTGATGATAAGGGATTACCGCCACCCGTGGACACCTACAACATGACAGACATCCCCCTCTCCTAAGAATAGGAGGGGAAAAGGTTGGGCTTCCAGAGACCACCTCACTCAGTTAAACGCGATAAAAGAATTTCTGTGAGGACCCGGGGCCTCCATTTGTGGCGAAAAATAGATTATCCACGACTTCAAACTATGTACAGTATTTTTTAAAATGTTTTTTGTCTTCAGATTGTACTGCTTGATTCCATACGGGATTGTGACCCAGTCCATCTGGGATTTTATCATGCCAGCGTGGATGGAAGCAATTTGCACCGATGTACCAGAAAAGGTACGTCAACAATTTTTTGAAAAAACAAACAAAATAATGTAATTTATGGGAAAAAAACCATTGAACTCGCGACTCTGTTACCTTTACCGACACCTCTGTATATAAGTTTTCACTCCTGTCGGCACTCCCGGAGTGACACTGTTTTTTTTTCGTAAATAACGGGGCAAACGGGCAGACATGTCACTTAATGGTAAGTGATTACCGCCGCCGCTTTATGTGATCCACAAACTGTTGTTCCGTGTCTGGGTTTTCTTTGTATCCGTTTTATAAATGTTTGTAAAGTCGGATAAATATAAAAAAACTAGCTGTCCCGGTGTACTACATACCGCCATATTTTTATTTGCCTGAGTATTTCCGAATTGTGAATCTAAACCATTCTCGAATCCACTTGAAAGAACACAAAAAAATATATCAAAATCGGTCTAGCCGTTTAGGAGGAGTTCAATCACCACGCCCAGAAGAGAACAAATGAACAAACTAACAATAACAACTAATTGAAATTCTTTTCTTCGCCAAACTAACACAATCATACACTATAGGAGCTCATGGAACTGAAAGTCTCCCTTGGCAAGATCCTGGAGCCTGAAGGTGCGATGGTGGGTGTAGACGAGAAGAACCTGTACAAATTCGCTGTGATGAAAGTGACCACCACACCTACTCCAGACACTGTGCTGCCTGTCCTGGAATGGTTCCAGGTATAACTTAGTGGTTCCCAAACCACATATTTTATTGTATTTTCTTGTCATTTCTCCTAACTCTATTTAGGGTCGGCGTCAGGGGTTTTAGCTGATTTATTTTTCCAATCAGGGTTGGCATCAAGATGAGTCGTTTAATTTGTAACTAGCTTTTCCGGTTTCGCCTATGTTACAATCTGATAATGTAGTTTTCCATTGGTGAAAGAATTTTTAAAATCAGTTTAGTGGTTTAGGCGTGAAAGCGTAACAAACAAACAAACTCACTTTCAGTTATAATACATATATAGATACTTGTAAATCTACACATTTAAGTGCAATGCAGCATATTATGAAGGCAGAAAATAAGACTTCAGAGTTAATCTGAACCAACTATTATTTCTTTAAAGACAGGGTTTAGGATTTTTGTGGGGGGGATCGGGTATCTGATTGTAAGTGACTACCATCGCCCATAGACATCCGCAACTCAAGAATCAGGAGGAGGTGGAGTAACACCACTCACTTGGTGAACAGCATTAAGAGAACTCTTAGAACTCGTGGAACTCTTCACGCCCTTTCGGCTGCACAAAGGGAACGTGGGGGTTTCCACACAGGAGGGGTCATCTACCTGCTGTAGATGACCCGAGATACCAGGGATTTCCTTTCTAGGGTAAACCTGGTTCCCTGGCTACTGGTACCCGAGATGGCGTGCGGTTTTTGGTTGGTTTGAGTCCGACATAACCACCCCACCGGTGGTTGGTCTCCGAGGGGAGTTCCGAGTTCCGTACGGAAAAAAAAGCGGAAGGTGGAGTGACGTCATACACTCGGTGAAAAGCATTGCAACCCCGTTCGAGCCTGACCCATATGTGGCCAAGCGTGGCTCTCCCACGATAAGTTAAGCTTAGGCCATCATTTAATGTTACATTTTTGTTCCAGACCATATCATTGTTGGATGTGAAGATCCCATTATCACAGCTGTTCGATCTATTCAGTCATTGCGTCGTCAACTTGCCTGAGAAAATCTTTAAACCAACACCTGCGGGTAAGTACATAAAAGGCCTGTTAGTTCATGACTCCTGAGCTGGAGGTCGTGGGTTCGATTCCCATCCGAGACAAATAATTGTGTGGTGAACACGATTATTACTTTTGTGTTTAGATGTAATTAGTAATATACATATAAGTATGTTTAGTAGCTGTTTAGTTACCATTTTTTCCTCCCTAGGGGTGGAATTTCCGAAAATCCTTAGTGGATTGTTTATAATGTAAAAAGCATCTGCTGCTAAAATTTTAAGTTTGTAGCTCCAGTTGTAGGCTCTATGTTGAATAAGTCAGGATGAGTAATTTTATATCTAGAGAATATATTTTTTTTAGAAGGGACAAAGCCCAAAGATTCCCCAGGTAATGAGAAAGACAAGAGTGACAAGGAGGAAATGAAACCCCAGAATCTGACGTGTTGTATCCTCATGCTTGACATTCTACTCAAACAGGTGAGTTCCTAAGAGTTTAAACCTAGTTATTAGTTCAAGTCTCACAGTATAAGTATTCTTTTTTGAAGTGAAAACTTCTTTGAAGCATTTTTGAACAACTAAAAATTAAGAAAAAAACTGTCGGCACTCCAGGATCTGTGTGCATCTGTTTTTTTGGCCACCTGATGGTCAGTGACTACACCACTCAGGGACAGCTGCAACCCAAAAGATAAAAATGTGTAGCGGCCCATTAAGCCCCCCCCCCACCAGAATTATCATCGGTACCCTCACTCACTTACTGGGTGAGAAGCAAAGCTCCGATCGAGCCGCTGAATAAATGTGTTTAGTCCACTGGTGGATATAGGCGTCTCATTAGAAAGGATGTTTTGGCGTAGTGTAGCACACTAGCACAATTTTCTTTCTCTTTGCAGTGTTGTTGTACTGTATAGTTTGCTCCCTCAGTCGGCTATTACTACACCCACGTGATAAATATGGTGACACTCCGTACTCTTAATCAGCAACAGTCACACTGAAAATCATAATTAATAGATTAATTTGTCACTAGATGGAGTTACAACAGCGACGTATAAACAGCCAAAACGTTAGCAGCGAAGCTACTAAGCTACTGCGCCTAATGCTGAAGTCCAGTCAGACCAACACCATTGAACACGGTAAGTATCACGTTATGAATATATATTTGTGTATCAAAAAAATCGTCTATTAATTCAATTACTAGAATATTCTACACATGTATGGCGTCTCTCAACAAGTCGCTTCAGGAATTGGTAAAATGTTATCGGGCCTATAAAGGTCATAGGGCACCCGACCAGCACCGCCTCGCCTCGCCTCAAGCGGTTCGTATTCTTTGTATGGAATACAATGGGTCGTTCATTTTCTGGTTAGCAAAAACCCACCCGTGGACTACCTGTCGAAAACGAGTAGACATCGAGTCGAGGTGGTGCTGGTCGGGTGTCGGGTTAGTTACACGGGTGTACAGAGATAACTGAAGCAAGTACCTACTATTTTTATCGTCAGAATCGCCCAGAATCGTCTTCGTCGGTGAGGACAGGTTTAAATTTACACATTTTATTTTTAGCCTGTATTTATATTCGCTAAGACCTAGAAAGTTTACTCGAAGTTGTTCTGGTAAACAATATAATGACACTATAAATATTAATAACTTCGGGCGGCAATCGATTTTCGGCCTTATGCGTATAGTAATAATCGGTCTATAACCGTGTCGTCCTGCGTTCATTATAGAATATGCGCGCTATCCTCGTAGTTCGGATGGACTCTCTGGAATTTTCTTAACAATATGTCAGGTTTTGAATGATATTCTTTAGTGTTAGGTCTTATATGCATTTAAGCCACATTATCGCGTTAGTGAGATTCCACGTCTCCTCGTCGCTCTCTATACTATAAAAAAAGACAACACATGATGCATTATTAAACATGTGGGTGAGGACGTAGAGGAGGGGTAGTGGTAGTGACGTGCGGAGTGTTCCAGCGGTGTGCCTGGCGGAGGGCGCGTGCTCGTACTGCGAGGCGGCGGCGCTGTGGCACCAGCTGGCCGTGCTGCTCGTGCGCGCGCTCGTGCCCGACAAGCCCAAGCCGCAGCCCGAGGTACGTGCACCGCACGCTGATCTATTTATTTCGTATATGACTTAAACACAAAAAAGACGAAAAAAAAGACAAAAAAGTTGACTTGGAGAAAAAAGACATTCCATATAGGTATGTGTTATCAAATTATATATTTAAACCACGTTTAGAAAATAAAAATGCTCACCGAATGTAAGTCCGAAACACCACTGTGTTCCCGAACAGCCCTCTTTCGAAGACGTATGGCCCGAAACACAACGCGACAAAAAGGGCCAGTCGGAAGACGAACGTAGCAAATCTGGAGGTACTCCCGCCACTTCTGTGGACGCCCTCATGTCCATCGCTCATCCGTTAAGCATGGGAGGAGACAAGAGTTCCGTCGGTGGAGTCCTCGTGCACATGCCCCATGTACGTATATCCGTATGTAAGTTTTGGTGTTGTGATGCTATCTTTTTACGTTTTGACATGAAATTTTTTACGAAACTGTAGCGACTTCCAAACGAAGAAACATACTACAGAGCCATCTAACGAAAACACACCGAACTACGTAAAAACTGCTCATCCTGTATCGCGATATGAAAAATTCTCAACGCCGATTAGCATATATGTATACAACTTCCCAACATCAACTGTTCATCGGTCGAAGGATCCTCCCTGTGTGTTGGAGGAACATGACACCCATTCCTCAACATTTCTAATTATTATTTACACGTAACAGTATTTATATGAAGCTTTAATAAAACGCTAGATACCTGTCCTGGCTCAAACGCTTCTTTCTTCCACAGCTCTGCCTTCAGTGGTTCTTAAAATTTCCATTCTTAGACGTATAATTTTTTCATACAGATATAAAAAAGACCAAAATTGTGTAGAACTTATTTTATTGCAAAAATAATTTGTTGAATATGGTTATCATGGCGGAGATATCCTCCTTTGTGAAGTGGGCTTAAAACGATATCAATTATTCGTTGGTTTTCGATTTAAAAAAAAATTATGGTATTTTTTTTGTTTGTTTAATTGCAGGTGTATAATTTATTTTAATAGTTCTCATATTTTTCATGTCACACCGTAAAAAGATTTCGGTGTAGCCAGCCTGGCACCAATGGTGGGTTACAAGACCAAACAGACTTTTAAATAAGCTAGGCTAGCTACCTTTTACGATTTAATTTTCTCACTTGGTCTAGTAATGGTCTTTTATAATTAATTATTAATAGTATTAAATGTTTCTAATAATTAAATTCTTATTACAAATTGCATGAATATTTTAGCAGGATGTCAACGAATGTTAATATTGTTGTTCGTCGTTTCTATTTTATACACTGTGGTATATTAGCGTCCTTACACCATTATTAGCAGCGTTTTACCTGAAATAAAACGCATATTAAAATACTTACCTCACTGGAAGCTTTATTATGAGAAGGCATTTCCGTTTCCGTCATAGTTCTACCAGTTTACCCTCTTTTTAGTACCTTGTACATCCGGTCCAGTAGCGACACCTGGCGGTCGTGCGCTTTTAGTTGATGTAAAACGTTTGGGGCGCCATTTTTATCATTGGCTCAGTGAATATGCACCAGGCAGATATAAAGTGAAAGCTTCCAGTGAGGTAAGTATTTTAATATGCGTTTTATTTCAGGTAAAACGCTGCTATTAAAACACTTGACCGTCACTGGAAGCTTTATTATGAGATCTGTTTGTTATCGCCTGGTGTCGCTATTTGTAATTTCTTATTATTATAGAAACGCCAATGTGACGATAGGGTAAATAATAATAAAATGTATGAATGAATTATATATATATTGTAGGATTAGAACCGATATCGATTATTTTATGCCTATAAAAAGGCACGCAACACAGGGCGCGGGCTCAATTGCTTGTCAGACATCGTAGAGTAAGGACCTACGTTGGTGTTCGGTGTCATCTGCATCGTGTTCGTAAGACTCAGTGTATAATTATTTTGTTATTAGCATTGTTACCATGATTATGTTCCAAGTGTATTAAATTAATCAATCGCAGTAATATAACCTTAGTCTGTAAACCTGTGTATTTCTTTTTAAATTGAAATTACCGCTGATACCTAACATCAGAAGTGAGATACTTATCCAAGCTATTGCCTTTTGATCGTTTTGCCAAAGGACGCATCATAAAAACACAGGGAACATAATCATAACTACCCTACTTCAGTGAGTTGATATTTATTTTTGTAATTTGTGTGTTTTATCGTGCGATTATGCCTAAAACGCATAGTTCACGTAGCAAATCACGTAGTGGATCGCACCGACATCACCGTAAGCGTCACGCGTCGCGAAATCGGGCACAAAGAAAAATACGTGAATACCGTCGGTCGCGATCACGAACACCTCCTCTACCTTCGCGGTCTCGGACACGATCTCGTTCTGTGTCAAACGATAGCTATCGTTCTAGGTCGAGTGTTCGTACTACGCGTCGTAGAGAAACTGACTTAGAATCGAAAGTGTCGAGTCCACGCATTAACCAGACATTAGACGCGATTCTAACGCGGTTAGAAAATATTGAAAACAACCGTACACCTAATGTTTCTATTCCGCAATCAGATATTTCAACAGGGTCGGCTGCCCAAACGATTGTGGACGCGATTCAGGCAATCAACCCTATTAGAACGCATAACTACTATATTTCAAATTTTGACCCTTCAATCCATGACATCGACGCATGGTGCGATGAGGTGGAACGTGCACAGTTAACCAATCGTTGGAACGAACAGGAGTGTCTATCTCGCGTTGCGGGTTGTCTCAAAGGTGACGCGAAAACTTGGCTCACCGAATGGGTAACCAGCGACAGATCGTGGACTAACTTCAAACGGGAGTTTAAACCACTTTGTCCTAAAAAGTTAGATTACGCGAACATTCTATTTGATACTATGAACATGACTTCAAATAAATTTTGCTCATATGCCGAATACGCGCGACGTAGTCTGTTACGGTTACGCATAGTAAAAGGTCTTAGCGAGGAATTAATGACTCAGATCGTCATCCGAGGGTTGGACGACCCACAAGTTAGGGCAGCAGCCGCGAACGCTGAACTTACCCCCGAGAATTTAGTCCCCTTCTTGTCCATTTATGTTAAACCATCCCAGTCAAAGGGACAACTAAAGCCTCAACCTAAGAAAAGGTTTATTAATCAAGGTGGTCTATCAAAACTTAAATGCTTTAACTGTAACCAAAATGGGCATAAAAGCTACTATTGCCCAAAGAGGACAAAGGAAGCCGAACCTCGCACAACTACCTGCACCTTCTGTAAGAAGGCAGGTCATTCAGAAGATCAATGTTTTGCTAAAGACAGGTCCACGCCGCGAAACAAACGTAACATAAATCTTTGCTGCGATCACCCGGGAGGCAAACACAGCAAAGACATCGTGACTGCTGTAGTGCAGGGAATCCCTGTCGATGTGCTTATTGATAGCGGTGCCCTCGATGTTTCACTAATATCAATGAATGTCCTAAAGTATTTTTCGTGTCCTATAAGGCCTACTACTTGTATCCTTAAGGGAATAAGTAATCACGAAATTATAGCCAAATCATGCGTTACTCTCACTCTAGAATTTAGTGATATTAGCTTTGAAGCCGATTTTGTCGTGGTTCCAGCTGAGTGCATGCTCACATCTATAATCATTGGAACAGACATCTTAAATCGCGAGGGAATAACATACGTTAGGACCAAAGACACTCAATATCTCACCCGTACGGACGAAAAACGTCCTGTAGTTAGTCTTGCTCACAAGATGGATATAGCTGACGTTGCGACGCCCCTCCAGGGCTCGGATCGTGAATCCTTATTGGATTTAATCAAAAGTTTCTCCGATTTTTTTATAACGGGTACAGCCACAACCACGGTGACCACAGGGGAAATGCACATTAACCTTACTAGCGATATACCTGTTACGTACCGACCATACAAACTTTCGCAAATCGAAAAGCTTAAAGTTCGTGAGATAGTCAACGATCTCTTGAACAAAGGCATTATCCGGGAGTCTGAGTCCGAATACTCAAGCCCAATTATCCTTGTTAAGAAAAAGGACGGTACCGACCGTATGTGCGTCGATTACCGGGCCCTTAACAGAATAACCGTAAAAGACCGGTATCCTCTTCCGTTGATAGATGACCACATAGACCGACTAGGTGATAAAAGCATTACGCGCTACTCGTCACTAGATATGGCTACAGGCTTCCACCAGATTAAAATAAATCCATCCTCGGTACACCGGACTGCATTTGTCACTCCTGAGGGCCATTACGAATATTTGAAAATGCCGTATGGACTTTCAAATTCACCAATAGTGTATCAAAGGATTATCAACAAAACCTTGCGTAAATTCATCGATGCAGGTAAGGTACTTGTCTATATAGATGACGTACTTCTTATTTCTTCTAGCATAGAGGAGGGCATGACTCTGTTACGAGAAGTACTAGTTACGCTAACTGAAGCGGGCTTTTCAATAAATTTACGTAAGTGTGTTTTCCTTACCACGGAGGTCGAGTACTTGGGTAGAATTATAAGGCAAGGTGAGGTCAGGCCGAGTCCCTATAAAATAAATGCATTGGTAAACGCACCCCCTCCTCAAAATGTAAAACAGGTACGACAATTTTTGGGCCTAGCCGGATATTTTCGGAAATACATAAAAGGTTATGCTACGAAAACATCTAGAATCTCACTGCTAACGAGGAAAGGCTTTCCTTTTAAATGGGGCCCTGAACAAGAGAGGGTTCGCCAAGAGATTATCTCAGTGTTGACCAGTGAACCGATCCTAACAATCTTTGACCCTAAACTGCCGACTGAGGTGCACACTGATGCGAGTAGTGTCGGTTACGGGGCTGTGTTATTGCAAACCCACGAAGGTAATAACAAAAAGGTAGTGGCTTACTTTAGTAAGGTTACCCAGGGCGCGGAGAGTAGGTATCATTCCTATGAATTAGAGACTTTAGCCGTAGTAAAAGCACTGCAAAACTTTAGGCACTATCTGATAGGGATTCACTTCAAAGTCGTAACCGACTGCAACGCGTTGAAATCAACAGAGCGAAAAAAGGACCTACTCCCCAGAGTGGCACGTTGGTGGGTGTACCTTCAAGATTTCACTTTTGACATCGAATACCGCAAGGGCAGTATGATGTCACATGCTGATTACCTAAGCAGAAATCCACCCTTGAATGTTCTTAACATCACGAGGCCACGTAATTGGGCTCAAATAGCACAAGCGGCCGATACGGAGACCGAGAGTCTTCTTCAACGCCTTCGTGAAGGTAGCTTGGACTCCAGCCGCTATGTTGAGCAAAATGGCCTGTTGTACTATAAATATACACCCATAGGAGAAGAGTCTAAGCTGCTATGTTTCATTCCTAGGGGCCACAGACTCAGTCTTCTCCGTATTTTTCATGACG